GCTCTCCACTGCACATCTGTAGAAGGAGGTGAGGACTGAGCTTCCCAGACCAGCTCGTCTCAGCCGTCTGAGGAAGTAGAGTCTCTGATGAGCTTTCTTGATCAGGCTGGTAGTGTTGTTGTCCCAGCTGAGGTTGTCATTCAGGTGTACACCCAAGTACTTGTAGCTGGAGACCACTTCCACCGCAGATCCTCTTATGTTCAGGGGGGTGTAGACGTTTTTGTTCCTTCTGAAGTCCACAGTCATCTCCTTTGTCTTCTTCACATTGATGTGAAAGTTATTCTCTTTACACCAGCTCTCCAGGTGTTCCATCTCTTGCCTGTAGCCGGACTCATCATCATTATTTGTGATGCATCCCACCACCACTGTATCATCTGCAAACTTTACAATGTGACAGCCTGGATGGGTAGCTGCACAATCATACGTGAGTAGAGTAAACAGGAGGGGGCTCAACACACATCCCTGAGGAGAGCCAGTGATGAGGGTTATGGTGGAGGAGAAGTTGTGGATCCTTACTAACTGTGGTCTGTTTGTTAAGAAGTCTAGTACCCAGTTGCAATGGAGGGGCTTAGTCCTAGTGTGAGTAGTTTGTCCATCAGGGTTTGGGGGATCATGGTGTTGAAGGCAGATGTGAAGTCCACAAAGATCATACAAACGTAAGAGTCTTTCTGCTCCAGGTGGTTGAGTGCAGTGTGGACCACAGAGGAGATGGCATCCTCTATTGATCGGTTCTCACGGTATGCATACTGATGAGGGTCCTCGTTGATGTTGATGGTTGTTTTGATGTGAGTTATGAGTTATGATCAGCTTTTCAAAGCATTTAGCGACTATCGGGGTGAGGGCCACTGGCCGATAGTCATTCAGACCAGTTACTGTAGAGCTTTTTGGGACTGGGATGATTGTGGCAATCTTCAGGCAGGTGGGTACTGTCTCCAGGGTAAGTGAGGTGTTAAAGATGTCTGCCAGCACCTCACAGAGCTGATCGGCACATTCTTTCAACACTTTTCCGGGGATGTTGTCTGGGCCGGTTGCCTTGTGCAGATTAATCCTCCTGAAAGTACTCCTTACTTCAGCTTGCTTGCTTTCCAATGCAACAGACTGCTTGTTTTTAAAGCTCACTATAAAACCTTTATACATGACCACTGATCATACTTCTTGCTGTCTGCTTGAGGTTTGAACATTTGTCAACACATTAATAACATTTCCTCACAAGACTCTCTTTAAGTGGTTGATTTTTTAAAAACAAAAATAAAATATATAAATTATACTTTAAACTTGGATTTGGTGACAATATTTCACACAGCTATTTGGAGGCTATCTGGAGACAGATCTGCAAGATTTTAGTCCACACATGGCAACACATAGCAAACAACTGGTGTTTTGCTAAAAAACACAAAAGACTATATTTTTTTCCCCATTGGAAGCTCAGTAAGCTGTGTGCCATTTTGTTTTTGTTTTGTCCTGTTTTGGGGCCAGTTGAAATTATTTTTATGTAGATAAGTATATATTTTTTCTTTGTAGCTGTTAGTTGTTTTTGCTTTGAAGACCTTGACGTCCCATTGAAATTTTGTGTAAAAGTATAAATAAAGGACTAACAAAAGACTATTCAACCACAGCTACTGAGCTACCAGCTTTAAAAGACCACAGTACAACCATTAACCATTCTGAATGCCCAGAAATGAGAATAAATTGTTGACTTACACTTCCAGACAACAAAAATGTTCATCTCCCCAAAATTAAGGGTCACGCTTGGACATAATTTTGTACATGTACAGAAGAGTAATAAGTAGTAAGTATGTGAATGAGTTGTTTTTCATGTCATTGACATGACTAGAACAAGCACCAATGTTCATGTGTGATGTTTGGCCTCCTGAGTGGAACAACAGTGTTATTAGGCAGTTGCTGAAGTGTTATCAAAAAAGTGAGTGAAGAATAAAGAGGATGTTTGCAGGCTCAATAGATACCATGGAGGATCACACTGCTTGAGGTTAGGTTGTTTAGGGGCCAAGATGGGGTAGAGGTAGGGCAGCCAACTTGGGGCCAGAAAGTAGCAGGTTCTTTCTAGAATTGCGCCGCTCAAGGTGGCTGCATGTTGGAGCAGCTCTGTTACTTTCATTCTGAGATTTTGCTTTTGGAAACTTTAATTCCTCTTTTTCTGGATGTAAATCATAATTTTTTGGATGATTGTTTCCTCTCGTATCGGATGCTGTGCAGCTGGAAGGATTTTTACTGAAACTTTTTTAGTTTTGGACATTTGTTATGATGCATAACCATGGCAACAAGGCAGTTTCTACAACCAACAGCAGTTGATTAACATCTCAAAAGCTCAAGTAATATCTCAACTATGGCCCTAAATTTCAAATGAGTTGAAAAGGATGTTCTGTGGACGCTCTTTCATCTACCTGCCAGCTGTGCTCGAGTGCCTGACCATTGAGATCCTGGAACTAGCAGGAAACACGGCTCATGACAGCGGAAGGACAGGATCGTACATCAGCACCGACAGTTGGCTGTCCGCAGCGATGAGGAGCTCAACAAGCTGCTGGGAGGAGTGGCCATTGCCCTGGGAGGATTTCTGCCCAACATTCAGGTGATCCTGAAGCCCAGGAGGCCAACCAAGTGCAAGTAAACGGATCAACATCTGTGGCCAGTTTTTTCAGATCTGCTATAAGACGGACCATCACAAGAGATCCTTCCCGCCCACAACCATCAACATCTAGAACAACTCTTTTATGAAACAAGGAAAATGAGCTACAACAACATTTAATTTCCATCCATCCATCCATTGTCTTTACCCGTTTATTCCATTTTGGGTCACGGGGGTCGCTGGTGCCCATGTCCAGCCATCACTGTGTGAGAGGCGGGAGACACCCTGGACAGGTCTTCAGTCCATCACAGGGACACATGGAGACAAACGAGACAAACAACCATTCACTCTCTCACTCTCACCTAGAGACAATTTAGAGTTACCAATCAGCCTAACATGCATGTTTTTGGTCTGTGGGAGGAAACTGGAGAAAACCCAAGCATGCATGGAGAGAACATGCAAACTCCACCCTGAGGGGTCCTGGGCTGGGATTTGAACCAGTGATTTTCTCACTGAGAGGCAGCAGCTCTACCAGCTGAGCCATCGTGCTGCCCCATTCAAATTATATATTTATCAAAATGTTTAAGGGGAAAAACAGAATGAAATGGTATTTAATGGTGTCTGAACTTTATGTAATATTAACTCAACGGGTAAAATGTTCTGCTTGAAGTGAGGGGGACATTAGCTGGCTGAAATAGGTACTCAAGTCTAATCTGGGATTAGCTTCGCAGCTTTATATATTGCCAAGGGATTTCTCTTTAACCTCATGCTTTGGTTGATGAACAGAAGGGGGCTTGTGCAACATGGTGATACCAAGGCACAATCAGTCTTATTAGGCTCTTCTTTACTTATTTAAATTATAATCATACAGCTCATCTGTATTATCTGTACACTAACATTCTCAAGTTCATGTAATTCTGCCAGTTTCCAATATAAAGCAGCTATTAAAAGTATATAATTGCAAATGTTACAAAATAGATTAAAAACAGTAAAATGTAATAAAGTACATTCTTGTTATAGACTTGATTTGCTTAAGAAATAATTATTTGTGGAAATCACGAGCTGAAGGTGTTAAGGGAACAAGAATTTTTCAAGTTCAAGTAGGTTTATTTCCATTTCACCACATGTGGTACATGAGGTAGAACAAAATTATGTACACTGGGACCCCCAACAACAGCAAAAATATAAAGTGTAAAAAGAAACAGAAATTTGGCACAAGGATCAAGAATAACTTTTTCTTGCAACCTGTTTTTGTTTGACTTGTTAATTTAAAACAGTGATGCTGTGACTTGACAGTTATATACTTAACTATGTGGTGCAGAGCTAATCAAATCCTTAGAAGTATGTCTATCAGTAAACCCACAGGTGTGGGATTAAGTCCAAGAAGCTGCATTAAAAATATTAATTTACATTAAGAATGCTGGGTAAGGGTGTGTTAAATGGAAGAATGTGAAATCCATTCAAATGGGCTTTGTTGAACCTAGATGAGGTAAAAACACAAGTGTCATGTCTCTTAAGTGTGGATCCTCACTTCAAAATAATCTTCACATCTTTAAATCTAAAGTCTGGCGCACACAGCATCGTTTCACAAACCATAAAGGAATGGCACGTGTCACGCTGTGCAAGCTCAACCCATGTCAACTATGACATAAGACTTAGGTCCAATCCACACTTCTTCAGACATTTTAAAATCAAATATTTTCTGCAGCGTTGGCATCAACACACATGAGAAGAATGAATCTGTATAAAAAAGATTCAAAGTGGATCAAAGTTTAAGATTAATTATCCAGGTAAAAAAATCAAAAAAGTTAAATCAGGTTCCCTGGTCCAGGATTTTTTTTTACCTGGATTATTGAGCATGAACTTTGATGTTTTGAACCACTTTGGCTATGGCTGCCTGAGACGAGTTGAAGGGGGAGAGGGCAGACTCCAGAAACCATCTTAGCACCATCAAACTGGTTGGCCCACTATGTGAGTGTGCTGTTTGTGGGACTGAGTTTGTTGTGGCTCCTCAGACTGATGAAGTCCTTTGGATGAAAGAGGAAACATTTCAACTCAAAGAAACCGGCCAGAGGACCTGACTGAACTTGTTGAATTCCAATTAATGTCTGAGAGGCTGGGGACGCCCTGGACAGGTCTCCAGTCAATCACAGGGACACATAGAGACAGAGACAAACAACTCACACGTTCACCTAGAATCAATTTAGAGTTACCTTCAACCCAGCACGCATGTTTTTGGTCAGCAGAAGAAACACAAAGAATAGATTAACATCATGTTTTATAATTTTTTAATCTCATATTATGTTTTAAATGTCAACAGAAGGATTTGATTTTTAAATGTTCTGTATACCACAATCAGTTTTTGCATTTAAACACAAACTAGGTCATAGTAGCAGGTGCGGCGATGGCCAGGACTCCTCCCTCTGTCTGATTCTGAGCAGTCGTCTCCGTCTGCACTCATCTCAGGCAGCAGAGCTTCTGGGGCTAATTATGGAAACACTTCTGTTCTTTTTGTGGTGATTGTGCACTGGGACTACTCTATTGGAATACTTCACTGGATAAAAATACAAAAAAAGTAATAATAATTTGTATGCTGGAAGATGGGATTGTATCGAAGGAATCACAGGATAACTGATGCTTCGCTTAGCTTGGGAAACTCAGAGTGAGGAGGCATCAAACAAGTGGGTTATCAGCTTATTTTATTCTGCATAAAAGGTTTTATCTCCCATTCAGTTTGTTTAGAAATCATAAATAATGTTTCAGTAACAGCCAGTGCAGATTTCAAACCCGTTTGCTTATTTTACAGAGACTATATTGCATGATTACTGTTTCACTTGTAACTGTTTTACATTAATTTCATAATTGCAATAAGAAAGTCTAACATTAAATAAATAAAAAAAATTAGAAAAATATCAGGTCTCTGACATGTTTATGTTATAGCCTTAAAAGTTATAAAATATGACAGATATCTTGAGCAAAAAATGTAATCCTAAAGGGAGTAAATACCATTGCAATCTGCAGCGTCACCTTCTTGTGAGCAAATATTGTATTGCTATTCCTCACTTTACTACCATCCATTAATCAGCAGTAGTCTGGTAAATTTGTTGTTTTCCCACGCATTACATTTTCAAATAATTGTACAACAGTAGGAAAATCTAAATTATCTTTGATTAGCTGCAATCCTGTCTTTGAATGAGCAAATAAGCAGTATGCTATTTGACAATTAACATAAGATACTTGCACCACAGTGCAGGGAGTGACAGAAGTCAGCTGTAGCTGTTTAATTCCCGACAGCCCTACAAAAAACTTCTATTAAAACTCAAAATAGATTCAATTCAGTTTATATGTCAGGTCACAAAAATGTCATCTTGGGGCACAATACAAAAACATTCACATGAATTAAAAAAAGACAATTAGTAAAAGTTCTCTATCTAAGGAAGCCAGCAGATTGTGCTGAATCTCCACTTTTTCATAATCTCCCATCCCGAGCAAGCACAAAGGAGACAGTGGAAAGGGGAAAAAAGTCATTTTTAACTGGAAGAAACCTCCAGCAGAACCAGGCTCAGGATAGGCAGCCATCTGCCTCTACTAGCTGGGGGGAAATATAATAAGAAAGCAATGAAGAAAAACACAAAATGGCTGGTCAATGTGTAGTTTCAATGATTAGAGTATAGTTTCTATGGTCAGGCTGTAGTTTCTATGGTCAGGGTGTAGTTTATATGGTCAGAGTGTAGTTTCTA